GCCAAGTTGTGGTTTGATTAGCCATTAAGCTCTGATCTGCTCTTGAGATCAAGTGCTTACTTTCTTGTTTTTACTGATTCCTTTCAAGTTCTGTTTGTGATTTCAGGTGTATGAACACCAGGTCTAGATCAAGAAGCTGTGGTCTCCTTTTCCTCTAAACGACAACATCAACCTTTTGGTACCAAGGAGGAGAAGAGACAGACGTGGTAGACACATTGATCAGACTGAGATGGCAGAACAAGGAGATCACGTGGTAGATATGGAACAACCAGTTCAGGAGCAACAGGCTCAAGGTCAGGGAGCTGGTATTAGAGTTGGTCAGGGGTTTCACCAGGGCAATGTTCAGCAGGACCAGGTGCACCACCAACAAGCCTATGTCCACCAGGGACAAGCTCAGGCTCATCAACAGAGGCATCAGGCCAATGTTCAACAAAGACACCAGGTGCACCACCAACCCCACCCTTTCCAACCACAACAAAGAAGATATGAGCAACCCCAAATCTATGTTGGCGAAAATGACAGGGCCAATGCTCATCAGTATGGAGCTGGTATTCAGGCACCACCTGTGCAGAACAACAACTTTGAAGTGAAAGCATCATTGCTGAATATGGTCCAGAACTCAAAGTTCCATGGGTTAGCAATGGAAGATCCCTTGGAACACTTGGACCAGTTTGATAAGGTGTGTGATCTGACCAAGATAAATGGAGTTTCAGAAGACAGCTTTAAGCTAAGACTATTCCCATTCAGTCTTGGTGATAAAGCTCATCAATGGGAGAAGAATCTTCCAAGAGGCTCCATTCAAACCTGGGAGCAATGCAAGCAAGCCTTCTTATCTAAGTTCTTCTCTACCTCAAGAACTGCAAAACTAAGGAACCAAATCTCTAGCTTCACTCAGCAAAGCAATGAAAGTTTTGGTGAAGCATATGAGAGATTCAGGAGCTACACAAACCAATGCCCACACCATGGGTTTAGTGAGGCTTCTCTTCTCAGCACACTGTATAGGGGAGCTCTTCCCAAGATTAGAAACCAGCTGGATACTGCTTCCAATGGGAACTTTCTGGGTAAAGAGATTCATGCTGCTTTAGAGCTAGTGGAGAACTTATGATAGTAGGAATTTTTCAATCCTTGATCAATTCCTCAACTACTCATGTCATTGTAGCACTTGAGGTATCAATCCAAATGGAGAGATTCTAGACACTAGAACTATGAGGATCAATTCTTAATCCAAGTCTAATAAGCAGATGAGTTGGTAACCAAGATTATCTAAAAGCATATAACAAAACAAGCAAGAACAAACAGTAATTAAGAGTTAAAAAAGCAAGAGAAACTAAACAAACACTCAAATTCAAATAAAAAGAAAGCTAAACCTCTAGATGTGATCATTGATTAGGGTGCTTTAAATATTGAATCATGATGCTAAGAACATAATGCAACACTTGCTACTCTTTAGTCTAGGCTTCTTAATCAGATTAATTCATTCCCATGACAATAATCCCTTTGCAAATCACTAATCAAGTCTAACAACCATTAGATATAATCAAGCAATCAGCAAGCATAATGCATCAAGCCTAATAAGTGACCAAACAATCTCTCAACCAAGAAGACTGAATCTTATACAGAAAGACATAACAAGCAATCACATGATCTCAAACATTTCAACTTAGAACTCTAATCTAGACTAATCCTCTCATGAAGGCATTAATCTCTACACTAATCCACTTTCAAACCAAATCATCATTTGTGAAATATGAATCAATGAGCATTAAGAAACAGTTCTAATAAGTCATTCATGCATTTAACAAATCATTCCCATGATGAAAAAGGCATAAACCCTTAAGTTAGCTCATTCAGGCATTTCATCAAACACTTTTGGTGCATGAAATGCCTATGAACCCAGATTTCACTTTCCCAAGGAAATCTGGCATTAGGAGCAACTAACTAAGGAAATGGAATGAGAATCTAAACCCTAAACATCACCAATCAAACATCTAAGCACCCTAATCTACACACCTAGAAGCTTAAAAGATGACTACTCACTAATCATGAAGAACACATCTAATCTTTTGCAAGAGATGATGTTAATCATGATTAGAAGCAGAAATGAGATGATGAGATGATGAGAAACAGACTTAGATTGATTAAATCC